CATTAGCCAGCCGCTTAGCCGATTTTTTTACCGGCTGGCTTAGCCAGCCGATAAAAACCTTATGGCTTGTAACACTACATGCCACCTACCCTAATCACGGGACTACCCGAACAAAATAAAAGTATAAACTACTTAATCGAGTTTAATTAAAAAATCGGAAAATCGAGTAATCTCGTGGCCATCTCCTAAATTTGGCGGTGAGCACATCGAGAAAAATTTGATGTACTGTACGTTAAAAAATATAAAAGTCTTATAAATGCTGAAAACAATTTAATTTGCATATTTTTAAAATAAATTATATATATACGTATATATACTTTATAGAATTGACCAAGGCTACTGTATATACTATATTTAAACTATAATCCTATTTTAAATAAAAACATAAATTTGTTACAATAAGATACCTCAATAAATAGAAACCTCGATGTATCAATCCAATATACTAATTCTAAAGCTTTGTTATATCTGTATTTTCTACCAGAAAGTTGCCAATTGTAAACTTTCATTTATAGATTAAGTTGCGAATTGTAAACTTTCATTTATAGATTAAGTTGCGAATTGTAAACTTTCATTTATAGATTAAGTTGCGAATTGTAAACTTTCATTTATAGATTAAGTTGCAAATTATCATAAATGCTTTTAACAATCTGATATACAACAAAAGCGCCAGGATCAGGAACACCAGAATTTTTGATATCATCATAAGAAATATAAGTTGATCTACCAAACTTGGGCTTTAAAAATTTGGTAGACTCCACATGGTTTTTAGCCAAATTTACTGCCAGTTTTAAAGCTTTTAAGACGTTATCTTCAGAGTCCAAACTGCTTGAAAAAGTGTCGATAAATGGAATTAATACGTCCATCATTGTACGATCACCAGTTCTAGCAGGGGTATAATTTTCAAGTGTTTCTAAGGCATTCTGGATAAATAAAATATAAATAAACAAATTGCATTATTGAAATATTAGAACTCTTAGGACAATCGGGTCAAAATCTCCCTCAGCAAAATTTTAGGGTTAGTGCGGGCCAGAATTATATTGATGCCGGCCAGGTTTTTTTTAATATAAAAACCCGACAGGCATTAACATAATTCTGTCCCGCACTAACCATAAATTCTAGGAGGGGGCCGGGTTAAAATAGAATTTCCCTTATATTTATAAGATATTGGCATACGACGAAAAAAATTTAGTTATTTTCGTATTAGAGATTGTACCCGTGGCATAATAAATTACCCGGATAACCGGTAATTTAATAGAAATATTCTTGAAGGGTACAATCTCTATATCAATGTTATTGTTCATATTATATTAGCATGTGGAATTTTGAATTTTGTCGTGACATTTTGCATAAATGATGTCATTTTATGACAAAAATATTAAGGCAAAAAATTTTTACATGGTCATATCACATGAACAATAACATTAAATATGTAGGCCATTTGTTGCTCGATTGAGATGACTTTAGGAACTGCCAAGATCCCTAATGAAATCTACGACTTTGCAAAAGCCATATTATATATATTATAATGATGAGCTAATCAGCAACTATCTTAGAATGATATTTGTTAGTGATATTTTCCCAGAAATTTAACTCTGGCAAAATATCAATCATACATAATCAACAATGAATCTAAAAAACATGTGTTGATATATAAAGAAAAGATTTCAAACCTTTAATGCTTCAGCCCAGCCTTTCGCATTAACGAATTTTTGATTTTTCTCATTAAGCTGATAATTTGTAGCCAGTCTCAAACTATTTGCAAGTGCGTATAAGAAGATACTAAAAATATAAATTTAAAAAAATAAGTATATTTACGCAATGAATGGTTTAATAGTTATAATATTAATTTCACCTAAATAGGCAACCTATTGTTCCCCCTTGTTTTTCTAAAATGTTGCCAATTTGCGCAGTTGCTTCAACAGGATCGTGAGAAACAATCTGGCGTTCTTCCAAAGCCTTTATAATGTCTAAAAGAACAAAACCATATCTGCCAATATTGGGAATTACTATTAAAACTGCTAAAGTCTTTAATAGAGGATAGGTAGCTTTTGATTCACTAGTCCGTTTTGGATAATTTCACCACCAAAATGGGAGAAGATTCTAATGAGCTCAAGTCATTAAAATTCAATTAAAAGATCCCGAAATCGTTAATGATTTATTTTCTTCGGGTAAAAGTTGGATTAGTTAGACCACCAAAAGAAAATCAATCCTTAACGATCCTGGGAACCTGTGATTAGATTTTAGGTTTTGGGCTCATTAGAATCGATTAATTGAGACGGTTATTTTGGTGGTAAAATGATCTAAAACGGACCAGTGAATCAAAGTTATTCATCATTAAGTTTTTAATATTTTTAATTGTAATTCCAGATATCGGCGGATATACCAAAGTCGAAAAATTAGATCACGTGATTACGTGACTCAACAAGAATTTAAACGATAAATTAATTATATAAGATATAACAACCGATTGCGCAATTCTTCATAGTAGTTCCGCAATCACCATCTCCAACAACCTTATCATATTGAGTAATATCAGGTTCAGCCTGAATCATCGCATTACTTACAAAATTCAGAGTCGATTCAAAAATTTGAGAATCTAATATAAACAAATAAAACAAATTAAAAGATCAATAATAAAATTTCAGATAATATTTTATTTTGCGTATACATTTACCACAAAGAATAGTCTGGGAATATTTATCATCAGATGTCTTTATACTTGAATTGGATATTTGTTCGTCTAATTTCGTGTCCAGACTAGAATGATCGAGATAAATTCGATTAATCCAACCCGGAGCTTCCACATGCTGATCCAACATTTGTATTATATCGCGATCTTTTGGCAACTTGAGTATAGTAAATGAGAAACCCGGCATGTTGAATGATGTCATAAATGTTCCCGTATATAATCTTGAAATATGGAAGTGCTTTTGTTCTATTCATAAACGACATATATTATTAATTTGAAATTTTACCAAATTGAGTCAATTATTATCGCGTTGTATAATGAGGAATAATACTCCGTTATCAAGCTTTAATGCAAATATAAAAATTCAAACCTAAGTATGATACTGCGTCGTAGGTACAACGAAATAATTCACATGTAGAAAGACCACCAAGGTTATTGACAAGTAAAACAATCGAATTTTTCTCCGGATGAATATCTAAAAAAGATCTTTCAGGATCTTCTGTATTTAATATTGTGTCTAACATTTTATGAACAAGGTCACGAGGAGGTGGAATTGGGATTTTTTGAAAACCTGGTTCTCCATGAATACCTTTAAACATAAATTAATGTGAAATAACAATTTTTGAAGAGCATATAGAGTGAGTCAGAAGAAACCAAGCAAATTTTTTGATAAATTATGGCTAATACTGAAAATTTTATCTATTATAAAATCTTGCAGATTTTTTTTCAGAGTTAGGTTAGGATTTAAGATTAAAGTTATTAATAAATGAATATATGGGGGTGAGTTAATAAAAAAGGGATAAATGTTTTCTAAGTTTTTTTTCAATTTTGAACTTAAATATCTCAACTCTCTAATCAAGTTTAATAAAAAATTTTTTATTTTAATTCTAAATAATTTTAAGCTTAAAACTATCAAATTTAATTAAATAGTTATTGAGATATTTTAATTTAAAAATTAAAAAATTTTTACTAAAATGATTTGTCCCTTTTCTACTGACTTTCCTATATGTAGATTTAGATAGGTATTGTAAATTTAAGTGGAGGCCTCAAATTTCAGTATCAGCCAATTCCAACACAAGCTGCCACATAATTTTGAACAAAGTTAACAAGAACTACCAAATTTTTGATAAAAATATTTTAATAATTTCTGCAATTTTATAGAAATTTTTAAAATAATTTTATCAAATTTGGCAATCTCTCGTCATCTTTTAAACCGAATTTTTATAACAAGTTTGCTCAATTTCTATTGATACACACCCACATAATGTAAATCTTGAAATATTACGAACCCATGCCCAGCTCAACGATGTTTTTTGGAAATGTAGAGTCATGCGATGAACCAGGAATTTTACACTGGTCAAAAGCGACACCAATAGTACCGACATTTTCAGCCACTAAACTAGCTATTGATTTTGTTTCTTCAAGGGTTCCACTAGAAAAAGAATTGTGGGGACCAAGCAATTAATGAAAGAAGCAATTCAGTACTATATTAAATACCATCTTAAATACATTATTAAATTTTTTACCCTGATGCAGCCACAGCTCCCGCAACCTTATGCACCAAAACTGTCCCTGCCAAACCCCGTCGACCAACAGCGCTGTTTCTACCAATACTAACATCATCACCCACAATGATCATGTCAACCTTGATACCTTCATTTTTTGCACGCTCAGCAGCCAAACCAAAATTTAAGCAATCGCCGGTGTAATTTTTTACAATCAACAATGTACCATGAGGCGATTGAATCCTACGAATTCCAGCTAAAATTGCGGTCACTGAGGGTGAAGCAAAGATATTCCCAGAGACAGCAGCTGAAAGCATTTGGGGCCCGACATATGCGGCCTGAACCAAATAGGTGAATAAATAGATAAGCCATCTATTTATGAATTTAAGGAATAATTTGTAACTAGGAGTAATGAAATTCCAAAATTACATGTGCAGGTTCGTGACCAGCTCCCCCTTGATATATAAATTAAAATTGCAATAATATTTAAATTTCAATCACTTTAATTTCAATCGCAAGGCATTTTCTGAAAAGTTAAATGATCTTACCCCCGGAAATAATTGTGACTTGCTTTTGTCTAATTTCATCAATATCGGCTCTATAGACGACTATGAAAAAATTTTTAATCATCAAATTGCATCCATTGCGGGCAACTTTATATTTAATGAACATACTTTTTTCCTCTTCAATTAATCGCAGTGAAGGATAGGTTAAACAAAGTCCACGAAGTGATTCGATAACAATATTTTCAGACATTTTTTAAAATCAAAAGAGTTGATCATCAAAGAATCCAATTAAACCACCCTTATATATCATATTTGAGTGACCAATCATTTTATTAAATTATGACCATAAACCACGTGAGTTTGTTAGAAGTAATTTTCTTTAAATACTTGATTAACAACCTTAGGTGGTTTATATCAATATAGTAAAGCTAATTATAAAATTAAACATATACTGTACAAATGTTGATACTGTACAGTAGCATAGCTAATATACATAGTACATTGTACTGCATAACAAGATTTTTTATAAAAAAGAAAGAATTCACCAAACTTGGTTATTAGAACTTTTAATGTTATATTGCTTAAAAGTATAGTTAATTGATTAGAAGTACGTAGGAATGTGTAAAATTACCGTAATTTTGCGGTAAGTTTCGTAAATTAATTTTTCATGTAATTTTTTGAACACGACATTTAGTTTCTGAGATCAAAATTTCGGGATTTAGAAGTTTACAATAATACTTGACAATCGGCCGCAGTGGCCGATTACGTCAATTATATTTATTACTGTATAACTATTACATATATATGTTGTGCATCAGATCGATTCTTGACTCAGATTAAACCTGAGGCACCTCAGATGCAGATCGTCAAGTGAGGTGCGTGAAATCGAACAAAATTATTTAAGGGTAGAGTATAGATCGATCATTTATCATATGATCTCCGTGGTACAACGGGATTTTATGCATAAAGTAAAATACGTCACTAGTAAAAATTCTCAAAGCCACGGCTAAATTTTACCAAAATTTGGTAATTTACAGTTCAAACCTTCTATTTATAGTAGTAAAACTTTCGGGGGTTATATTATTTTTAAAAAATGAACATATATATGTCATAAAGTTTCTGGTGATTTCTCACATTTCTCGGGGTTATACGAAAAAAACATAGTAAAAATATTTCTAAATCAGGTAATTACCCAATTAGATATGTGTTTACTATGTTATCTGTTACACAAAAAAAATTGCCATTCATATCATATGATAAATGATCTACATATACTCTATCCTTAATATGGCTCACATGATAGCAACTTATTTTTTGCATAATATATATATCAAACTAGTGATTGGACCCATTCTACTCGGGTGGCTTTATTTATTTGTGCCAGTAATACAACCCAAAAAAGGGAATTTAATTTTGTAAATAAACAAAGTGTGTAAAAATACAAATTTAGGGTTAGGAAGTTATTATTAGAAGCTATCATCAGAAAAATTTAAAATTAGATTATTATCGATTAAAATCTAAGGATTTTAAACGATTCTTATTACCACCGTCGATTAAAATCGATTGGGTTTTCATTGATTATAATCGATATATATAGAAAGCCATCAATTATAATCAACTTATATAGATAGATTTATATCGATTATCATTATTATCGATTTGGATATGAATCAATTATCAGCACCACTGTCGATAATAATCGCTTGAAACCAATTGATTATAATCAATTAATTGTTTACAACCGATTATAATCAGGCTTCAAAATTTCCTGATGATAGCTATAGACTATTGCTTAATATATATAAAATTTCATTCCTGACATTTTTAATTAGTGAATTTAGGTTGATTTAAACACTAGTTTTTGAGTATTTTTATTTTTTTCTTCTTCGCACATATTCAAAAGTTATGTCAAGCTGATTTGGAACAATCAAAATTCGAACTTACTAATTAGTTATTTTTTTTTAGAAGTTTATATTACTGGTACAAATAAGTAAAGCTCTACCCAGATAACCCATCAGGCTGATTCGAGTAGACTACCAGGTATTCTCAGCCAATCACTAATGTTTGTTTACATTAGATAAAATAGGATGTATTAATTTTATTTTACCTGATGTAAACAAAACATCAGTGATTGGCTGAGAATACCTGTTAGTCTATCTGGATCAGCCCAACAGGTCACCCAAGTAGAACAGGTCCAATCACTATATCAAACAATATGCAATATATTATTTACTAGAAATCGGGAACTGATATAACAGTCAGCCGACATGTCATTTACAATTGCAGACTTATTGATCAAATTAATTGACGTACTTAAATTTTATAAGGAAATTTATAAAAAAAAACTTTT